ATCAGTTTAGAGCCCGAGCTTAGGCGCTCTAATGGGATTGGCGACCCCTTTGATGGCTTCGGCTGCAGGTGCGGTGGCGTCTGTCCGCTTGTCTGTGTTGCTAGGCCCTGCGGTAGAAGGGGTGTTCGTGAGGTCTCGGGTATCTTTGTCTTTGTGTTTGGTTTTATTTATTGATATTTATTTATATGTATATATGTATATATGTATATATGTATATATGTATATATGTATATATGTATAAATATATATATGTATATATATATATATATATATATATATATATATATATATATATATATATATATATATACATATATATGGTGATTAGTTGACATCTTTTTCAACATCGGTGTCTCGTTGCGTAATGGAGATGTTTGGGGATGCAGTTTGAGCTGCTAAATATGCAGGTGACGTTTGCATTGGTCTTCCTCGTGATCTTCGCCTTCGTCTTCTGTTTTCCTCATCTTGCGATAATATCCTTCTTCACGTCGGTTGCAGTTGTATATAGAAATGATGAGCAGACAACCAGTTTACATAATAACTGCACGGAAAGTCGTACAAAGAGGAGTGAAGAAAGGGGGACTGAAAGACCATGCATGTATATATAACTGTCCATATTCATATATCACTGCTTAAGATGCTGAATATAAGAATATGTATATGTATATATATGTATATATATATATATATATGATTAGTATATATATATATGATATATAATATATATATATATATATATTAAATATATATATGAGATATAATATAGATATATATATATATATATAAAATGTATATATATATATATATATAAGATTACATTCGATATATATATATATATATTATATATATATATATATAATATATATTTGTGTGTGTGTGTGGTGTTTGTGTGTGTGTGTGTGCGTGGGTATTTCTATGAATATCGTTGTGTATGTGCACACACACGACACCACACACACACACGACACACACAACACCCACACACACCACACACACACACACACACACGACACCAACACCATATATATGTACTATATTATAGTCACACATATACATAAATCATATATATACACCAATATATATATTATATAATATATATATCATATTATAATATATATATATATTATGTATATATATATATAATATATAATATAGGTATTTATTATATATATATTCTATATTATATATATATAATATATATATTATATATATATGTAAGTATATACTATTAAGACGGATTAAAAAATTAAAAAAACAGAATACTTTCCACAAAGGAGAAAAGATTGATCTTGGCTTCAATTAACGACACCAACAGACGCTTTCTTTCTTTTCCGTGCAGCATGTTTTGACTTGGGAAATGACCTGTCTTTCCCTGAAACAGATTCGCGTATTGATAAGGATGAAAACTTTTTTTTCCCGTTTCGTTTTCCGATCTTTCTTCGATGCGCGACCCAATATTCGGAAAATGAATTGACTCGACTTGATATCCGGAAAACGACTCAGCTTGAAGTTCGAGATATGACTTGCTTTGAGTGGTCTCCCCTCCCCCCTCTCCCCTCTCCCTGAGCTCTTCCCATCCCCTCTCACAATCCCTCTTTTCTCCACCTCCCCTCTCCTCACACGCCTCTCACAGTCCCCCCCCCCCCTCATCTCATAATCCTCTCCTCCCCTTACTCTCCTCTTCCCCTCTTCCCCTCTCCTCATCTCCCTTCTCCTGACACTTCTTTTCGCCTCCCGACAGTACCCCCCCCTTCTCCTCAAACTCCTACCCTGCTCTTAAGATATTTCAAAGATATTATAGCCTCATCGATTCTCGTGACCTATAGGTCAAAGGCCAGACCCGCTGAAAGGACAAAGGAGAGCCCGCTTTCTCCAAAAGAGAGGGAGAGGGAGAGGGGGAGTGGGAGAAGGAGAAAGAGAGAGGGGGAGAGGGAGAGTGGGAGTGAGAGAGGGGGAGAGGGAGAGGCCGAAGGAGTGAGGTAGAGGGAGAGGGGGAAGGAGAGAGGGAGAAGGAGAGAGGGAAAGGGAGAAGGAGAGAGGGAAAGGGAGAAGGAGAGAAGGAAAGGGAGAAGGAAAGAGGGAAAGGGTGAAGGAGAGAGGGAAAGGGAGAGGGAGAGAGGGAAAGGGAGAGAGAGAGAGAGAAAGAGAGAGAGAGAGAGAGAGAGAGAGAGAGAGAGAGAGAGAGAGAGGAGAAACTCGGAATGGATTCAAAAGGGAATGTCTGTTTTTGTTTCTGTAAATCGATAGTGTCATTCAGATTGAGCATCCGAAAGAAGAAATTCAACAAAGGGATCTTTATCTTTGAAATTGCCAGTGTTCAGAAGCCGATATGGCACAAATATGGCACCGGTATGGCACCAGCACCAGAAAAAGAAAAAGAAAGAGGAGGAGGAGGAATGGGGGAAGAGGAGGAGGAGGAGGAGGAGAAGAAGAAGAAGAAGAAGAAGAAGAAGAAGAAGAAGAAGAAGAAGGAGAAGGAGAGGGAGAAGACGAAGGAGAA